TCTCCATAAACAGTATCCAACTTTGTTTTCATCTCCTCGCATTTTTTCCCATCCAAAAACAAAAAGCGAGTTACCGAACGATACTGCTCTTTTTCCATCTTAGCGAAAATAACGAAACACGTCTCAGTCGAATGGCTGCCAAATCCAAACTAACCTATCAAACAGTCTGAAATTCGTTTTGGAGTGGTTTGATAGATAGCAGCACACGATGACAACACCAATTTCCCTCAGAAACGTCCTCTGTCTTCAAACACGGGTACTTATTGAACCGCCCTCGTATTTCATCTGCTAACTTTACATGCGCTCCCTACTTTTTCTTTCCTTACATGCCAGTATTTTTATTTTACTTTTATTTATTTTCATACAATGCCGTTTTGTCAATTTGTCCCCTTCCATTTTACGCATTACGTGGGGATTTCAAAATAAATCATCAAAGTACAGATTTCTAGTTCCTGTAAATTTGTCCATGAATAGTAACTGAAACTGCTAATATCAGCCTTAGCCCCTTTCAGGCCCCACGAACATTATCTGATCATATAGGAATATTACATATATGCCTTTGACCTCCGTCTACCCCATCCATTTCCTACAAGCCCTGTCAGAGCGACGGTCCCATCATCTAGACAAGTTTGGTATTACCAAACTTACCACCGAGTTTTTCGTATTGTTTTAGTAAAATTTTTAAATATCTGAGGGAATTAACTACTCTCCCTGCTCCCTTCGCGTGTCCTTGCTAGTCTAGTCTATTAAAGTGGGAACTGACGCGCAAAGAAAACACTTACCAAGCAGAGGCAGAGGGTTGGGAATTATATGTTTCTTTACGCGTTAGCTCCCTGACTATAAAAATTATTAGCCGTCAAGGGTCAAGATTCATTCGTCATCATCAGTAAACTATTAGTAGATACTACTGCTAGTGTGAAGTATTTCTAAGCTATTGATAAGAATTTTAAAAACGCATATTCGTGTTATTTTAGGTATTAAAACCATTCAGCATTTCAGTGGGTCTCAAGCAATATCAGCATACATGCAAACAATAATGCAAAGCAGCGGAAGTAACCTGTCTTCTTCATACTCGAGCATAATATTTGGATTCACCCGATTTATAGCTGGTAAGTGTGTATTAGACTGCTTGGTGATTGTTTATTTTCATTTTATGAGATTAATTTCAATGCAACCTTTCACCAAGAGCAACAACTATATTTCTTTTTTTACCAGAGGGTCAAGTTTCATTGTTGCACTTCATGTCCCATGCCCCACAACACCGTGAAGAAGTTGATACCCA